AGCGGTCTCAAGCTGCAGAGAAGTGGGGGTAAAAATATTAAACCCCTTTAAAGCAACAAGCTCAAACTCCAACCTTTTAATCTTTTTGGCAGAGGAATAGGCTTTAGCTGCCATAGTCTTTGCCACCTCCTTAGCAGACTTGGTATCCTTTTGGTCAAGGGGCATAGACCCGGCTGCCAAAATTGTCATTTTTTGCATCATAGCAAGCAGAGCAGTCTTTATATATTCGGTTGTATGCTTCGCAAAGGAACTTGGGCAAACAACCCCTCTAATGCCATCAGCAAGCTTGGCATACACATCCATGTCTTCAAGCATATCTAGTTTCAAGAGCAAACAAATCTCAGTTGCCTCTCCAGAAACAGGCTTGGTGGATTTCTCATAACTGCCCACGTGAGCAGTCTTCTTTTTCTCAGCAGGCGAATCAGTCTCAGCAGCAAGGGGAGTAGGCATTGGCGCCACTTTAGCAGCAAAGTCCACCTTATCGCTATTCATTTTTCTTCCCATTAAAAGAAGTCAAGTCAATCACAAACTTCTCGACAGCAGGCAGACTTTCACAAGCAGTGAAGGAAATCTTCGATTTTTCCTCAACCAACATCTTTTGAGCAGGCTGGGTAGATCTCTTCTTTCCATCTTTATTCATAGTAGGTTACACACAACAACGATCGAACCAGCCAATGTATCTATCTTGATTTTCTTTATTCATCTCTCGGGAGCAACCCATCTTTCTCCCGGTAAAGAGGACTACGTAGCTAACGCCGTTCATGATACTCAGAGAAAGAGCACAACCCATGCTGGCTCTTTCCTTATTTTTTTTCTTTCGGACCAGCAAGCAGAAGGCATGCATACCTAGCATTCCAGCAACCCATGATGCCCATGACCTCCTCATTTCTCTCAATCACTGGCTTGGCCTACGTCAGGTCTAAGAGCCCAAAGGACATGAGCCATATGGCTCACCTAGTACTGCGCCCCAGTGCCTCAATCTGTGGCCCCAACCGCACAGCTGCCCTTGGCTCTAGCCAAGTTGAGCAGCCCAAGCGGTGGTCCATGCCACAACACACCTCGGCCCATGTCAAGCCGACTCCTGGCCCCTGCCAGCCGATGTGCCATACCACCGTGACTACTGCCCCACGACAACACTATGTAAGAAGAAGACAAGGAAAATTAAATTTTTCTTACCTCGGTGAGGCGTGGAAAAGTCGAAGAAAGCAACGAAAGACGGTCCTTTGTACGGGCAAGTGTAGAAGATTGATAGGGGAAGGGGAACAAATATCCTCTAGCCTTCTCTCTCTTGTAGGGTAGAATTAATTGCTCTCTGAAGTTGATTTAATCATCTCCTTAAGGTATACTTAAATAAACTTTAGAAGTGATTTATTTCCCTTTTCCCAAAAGAATCTAATTTCCAAGTAATGTGGGAATCTACATCAAAATAGGAAACAATCTTACGTTTCCTAAAGCAAGGGAAGATCTCTACACCTGCTGCCCTTTCCTGCGAGCAGCCCAACAGGTGTGGAGGCATTTGTTAAGCAAAAAATAAACAAGAAAATTATGGAGGTGACACGTGGACTTTTGGGTAAAATGGACAAAATTATCCTCAAGGCACACCAGGATTCCCACGTGCATACAACATACAATAATAGCTCAATAAAGGAAGAGTCAAGGGTGATCAAAATGATATTTATTCAAATACCTCTCATCACTCCTCATTAAATCCTTGCTCAGAAGGTAACTCCCAATTCTCTAATTGGGATTAATTACCAAATTAATTGCAAGATATTATTTGACATAATATCTTGCAATTATATTAAAAAAAAAACACCAAAAGTGGCCGGTCCTTATTTCTCCAAATAGGGCCGGGAATAGGGCCAGCCACACCCTATATATAGTCCCATTTTTCTCCAAAAAGCTAAGTCCAATCTCCCTAAAAATCCCTGAATACTTTCTCTTTAAAATTCTAACTTTGGCATCGGAGATTCTTCGGTCAAAGCCCCCCTCCCCCAATTTATCGTGGGTGCGTGAGACTCTTGGCCATAATCTTAGGTGTTATTATTTTGCAGGTGCATTTTCGTCAAAGGAGAAGAAGGCGGAAATTTGTATCCACATACATGAAGCCTTACCCTAACAAAATGTAGAAACTATTAGAAACAAAAATGAATTAAGACAACTCTTAAGTGAAACGAAAATTTGGAAGCCTTGAAAGATCATAAACAAAAGCCGACTTTGCACATGGCGGACAAGATTCCCACCAATGAATCCCAACATAATCAACACCAAAGTTTGCTAAACAATCCGCCACCTAATTTCCTTCATGATAAATGTCAGAAAACTAAATATGCATGGAAGAAAGAATGGTACAATAATTTGCCCAATCAATTGATAAATGCCAAGGCACCTGACATTGTTCACATTATATATAGTTTGTTACGCTTTGTATAGTTTGTTTGTATTATCTGTTTGTTTTGAAAAGTTATTTCTTCATCCAAATTCTATTTGTAAAGTCTTATAAATACATTAATACAAACACTGCTAAATTTGTTGAGCAACATTCTTTGTAAAGTCTTATAAATACATTAATACAAACACTGCTAAATTTACTGAGCAACATTCTTTTAGTTTGGAGTAGGTGAATTAAACTTGGGACCTCATGTGAACATAATATTCTTAATCCAACTGAGTTACAAATTGTTATTTATAGAAATTTATCGCGAAGGTTTAGTCAAGACTCGGATCTATTTCATTTTCTCTGTTTGGTTTCCCCTCCTTGGGGCAGAGCTGACTTGAAGATAAAGAAGTGGACTTTAAAGTTCTCGAGTGATTTATTTCTAATAGTTTTTATTGGTATATGGGATCTATTATTAAATTGGTTGACCTCTTAAGTTCCAAGTTTCTTTTGGCGCCATATAAATTTTTTTTTCTTTTTCTAACCGTGCCATATACAATTTTAAGTTTCCTTGTATAATACAATTTTAAGTTGACATAGCTGTTTCTCAACTCTATTTTCTAATGATTTTTGTATGGGACATACTGTTATTAGATATTTAATTAGTTGACTTTAGGGTTTTTCTCCTATTACGATTCTTTCAAATCATGGGGACTAACTGTTATTAAATTAAGCTTTCTGGTTTAATATTACTAAAGTTTATTTTCTCCATATAAACAATAGTTGACTTCCGTTAGTCTTTACATTTTTTAAGTAATTAAGTTTGACTTTACACACTTCTGCAATGTTTATTCGATCGTTTTTATTCTTTTTTAAGGTTCTCTTACTAATCAACTTCACAGTTGTTCACTGCTTTGGAGAAAGAAACCTTTATTTTAGTGTGCGACTCCAAGTACATGGCATCTGGACAACCGCCCCTAGAAGAATAACTATGACCCAATATCCTCGTAGGGGTGAGCACAGTTCGGTTCGGTGCTATTTTGAGTGAAACTACAACCAAAATCGAAACTTTTTGCCGTGTGGTTCGGTGTGTTTTGAAGCCAAAACCGAAGTGAAACCAAACCATTTGGTTCGGTTCAGTACGGTTTCAAACGGTTTTGGTTTGGTTTTTGAGCAAAAATGTACATTTTAAAATTTACACCTTTACATGTGAATCTCTAACATGGTATAACACCAAAAAAATTGTATGTAAATTTGCACCAAAAAAATTACATGTTAATTACACCATTGGTCAAGAATTTGACTCCATTCCACAGAGAGACTCATAATCGAAAAACTTAAAAGTCGAAGGCTAGACGAGTACGTGCACAACACAACCATGGGAAGCCCATTCTCATTCACAATCTCTGCCAGGCGAAGCGTTTTGACCGCAGAATGCAGTCATTTACCTTTGAAATTTGGGACCCTATGCCGCTGAATCGTTTGTACGCAATGCCACCACTGAAACAAGATCAAAATGGACAGTCATAATAAGGTTTAGGGTATTAAACTTAAAAAGAAAAGGGTTAAACCAGACAAAGAAGGGTATATATTGACCTAAAGATCTTTACCTGAACTTTAAATGTATAGGATTGAGATCTTTATCAATGATACCGTCTTCATTTATATGATGCCACAACTTATATTTGTATTTTTAATTGTTGTGACTTTAGGACGTGGGATTAAACCATCCGACCCTATGACTTGTACGAAGCCATATATAGAACATTAAGAATGTCAGAGGAATATCCACAACTCACATTTTATATATTGATGTAGCTCAATTCGATCTCGATCGATTTCGGTTTTTCCATTCAATATTTTTTAACGTCGACCAATATTTAATTCAAAATTATTTCCATAGAACTTCAGAAATTGCTAATCTTTAAAAAACATTGATGTATTTGACAAAAAAAGGGGAATATATATATATTGATGTAGGCTTTATAAAAAAAAAAAAGGTTTAATTGGATTAATAGTCCCGTGGTAATAGAGTAGTCGAAAGATAGCACATGTGGTGAAAAAATTATAATTTAAGCCTCGGTGGGAAAGTCTGTTAGGATTTAGGCCAAAATTGAAAATTTCGCCGTCTTCATTAATTCATTAATTATTAGCATGTGAGCCAAATATACGAGGCTAAAACGAGTTCTTCGTTAATTGTTAGCACGTGAAGCTTACATGTGAGGGAAAGTGGACAAAATTTTCAATTTTGGGTATAAATCGTAATAGACTTCACCACAGGAACTTAAATCCTATTTTTTTCACCACATGGACAATTTTTCAACTACCCTATCACTATGGGTATTAATCATCCAATTAGGCCTAAAAAATATTGGTCGACATTAAAAAATATTGAAAGATTATAGAACATTGATAATGAAATTGCAAATATTTTTTAGCTGTACAAGGTCCCATGCCGTTGTTTAAAGCTTATATACTATTTCATGTTAATGATTGATAATTAAGAATTAATAAGGGAAATTCTATTTGGAATTCAAACTGAGTTGGCTACTCCTGTCTATAAATGTGCCCCAATCTCCTTCGTCCAGAGCACCAAACAAGTCTAGCTTCCTTCACAATTATTAGCACTAAAGCAAAAGAATAAAAAAAAGACTTCCTCTATACATTTAGCATACATGGAATCTGCAGCAGCTATTGCAAATGGTCGATGGAGTTCACTTGGTGCAATGTACTCCTCCGATGAGGAGGCGGAGTTCATGTCCCAGTTGATCGGTAACTGTTCTGTCACAAATGAGATGAATGAGGCTTCAAGCTCAGCAATCCCATTTGCAATTTGTCCTAGCTATGATTTTTCAACATCTAACATGGAAGGCATTTATCAAGGTTCACAATATTCTTCAGAAATGGCTAATCTTTACCTTTCAAATGGGAGTAGTACTTATATTATGAACAATGATGAAACAAACGACTGCATTGGTAATCCTAACCGTATTGTGGAAACAAGTTACCACAACTCCGAAGCATTTCGTCCATGGGACGACAATGCTACCAACTTGTTTCCCACTCAAGGCGAAGAATATGGCATGGATCATCACCAAGAACTGAGCAATGTCAATATTGAAAACCAGCCGGGAGCTGCTATTTATGAAAAGCTTCTGCAGCTTAATAGGGAGTCTGATCATGAGATGGCAATACGGGAACCTGCAATGGAAAATGAAGTTATGGTTTCCGAAAATTCTAAGAAAAGGCCTTGCAGTTCAGTAGATGTAAGTATACACAAGATCAAGCTTTAATTAATCTCTCTTTCATGCACTTAATTGGTGATGCTTTTTTTTTTTTTTTTTTTTTTTTGTCGTATTTTTTTAACTTGAAAAAATGAGAATTTGTGAGCATCTCCAATCATAAGTAAATGACTAAATTTTGTAGGTGCTAAAGAATCAGAGGAATGTGAAGGCGAAGAAGGGCCAAAAGGCGGTCTCAAGCGGAGACATTGAAGATAATGATGCAAGCACCAAAGGGCGGAGCTCAAGCAGTTGCTGCTCAGGGGACGATGACTCCATTAATGGTTCTCATCACGATCTGAGTAGAGGCGTGAGTACTTCAATCTTGAGTCCAAAAGGGACAAAAGCCAGTAGGGGATCGGCAACTGATTCCCAAAGCATATATGCGAAGGTAAGTCCATAAAGTACTCAGAGTACTGTACTCTGAAGTATATATTTACCAATTTCTTGAAAAAAGAGATTTCTATTGATCAATACTAGAGGAATGAGGATGTTGAAAGTCTTGAAAGTAGAAAATGTATAATTCTTGAATGGAAAATCACTGTATAACCCTTAGTTCATTGTATTAAAGTTGTTTTTTCCAATAGGGGTATAGTTGACATTTCATATGTTGTGGTTGACGACAATGTTAGTATGGATGAAGCGCCTAGTAGTACAGATAAAACTGATCAAGTTTCTATGCATATCCTGCAGAAAAGAAGAGAAAAAATAAACGCGAGGCTAAGAATTTTGCAGAACCTTGTACCAAATGGAACAAAGGTAATTGTCAGCATATAAACTCTAATAATATAAGAGTTGGTGTAATTATTTAAGAGCCCATGTAACTAAGTTCTCCTATATATATTTTTTTTTGTGGACAATGCAGGTTGATCTCAGCACAATGCTTGAGGAGGCTATCCAGTATGTGAAGTTCTTACAGCTTCAGATAAAGGTAATACCAAAAGAAAGAGAACTGAAATAATGAAATATATATCCACGTTCAAGTTTAAATCTAAACAGAAGTTTTGATTTGATGATATAATAATATTGTTTTTTTCGGTCTCTATTTTGCAGCTCCTAAGCTCGGATGATATGTGGATGTTTGCTCCTATCGCGTACAATGGAATGAACATTGGGATCGACTTAAATTCTTGATGAAACTCATAGGATGTAGTAGGACGTCGATCTGCTATTTTGATAGAACAGACTACAAAGTCTTTTGGCCATGGAAATAAGGGCACAAAAAAAGTAATAAATAAACTAGCATCTGCCAATAATATTTGATTTCAGCATTACAAAGGGCCCTTGTTGAATACCTAGATTGCAGATGAATATGCGAATTATACAACTCATATTGGTGACGATGGATGTAGTCTGTAAGAGGCCCTGTGTTAGTTTGATATTATCTTAAACTCATATATGTGTTTCACATGTAATCTGATCCACTCTTAAGCATTGTTCTCGCAGCTTACAACTCAAATTGTTAAGAGGTTTTACCCTGCGTTTGAGGTCCAGTATTTATTTTGTAGTTTTTGTATAAAACTGAAAATTGCTCTTCAAATTTCGAACTTCCATTTTTCTGCCAGATATTTGATATATATTTTTTTAACGCCTTAATGCTGTTAAGTTTCAAGATTTACTGTTTTACTAACAAAAATGAAACATTTATTTGCAAAATTAAAAAATATGACATATAGAAATTGAAATAGGTAGTTTTACTCTAAAAGACCTTAGATACAAAACAGAATCTTAATGAAGAAAAAACACCCAATGGATTTTTTTTAATCATAAGTACAAAAAACAAAACAACATGCCCAAACGATAACCAAAAACAGTTTGGGCTTCTTAATATTGGATTTTATCTTTTTGGTTAAAAAAAACCTTGCTGAGCTGATTCAATATTGGATTTGGTCCTTATGGTTAAAAAAAAAAATATAAAATGGTGTTTTTTGATTAACATAAAATTAAGGGTAAATTACATATTAGTCTCTTAGGTTTGAGGTCTATTACAACCCTATACAATATTTTTAAACATTTCACTTTCATAGCTCACGTACTATTTTATTTCAAAATAATAAATCCGTTACATTTTCTATCTATTGATCCATTAAGCGTTGACGTGACTGTCACATTTATGCCACGTGGCAAAAAAAATAATTTTTAATTTCTTTTTAAAAACCTAAATCTTCAACAACAACAAAAAAAAAACTTAGAAAACCCAGATCCCATCACCCCACCCCACCCACCCCCCTCCCCCCCGGGCGCCTGCCGAAACTCATCCCCTTCATCATCTTCCCCATCCGTCGTCCCTCCTTGCAACCCAAAACAAAACCATTCCCACCCTCCACATCCTCCTCCGCACCCATTCCCCCCCCCCCACCTGAGCCCAACATGTGCAACCTAAAAAAAAAAAATAAAACCCATCTATATCTTCCTTCACCCCCCTTCCCTGCAACCCACCCCTTTCTTCTCCCTCCCATCTTCTGCAAACCCATCGTGTACCTATCCTCCACATCCTCCTCCGCACCCACTACCTGCAACCTAGAAAAGAAAAAAAAAAACCATATCTTTTTCCCTGCAACCCAGATCCCGTCTTCCCCAATAGATGTGGATTTAAGAACTGGGGTGTGTAGAGGAGGGAAGAGGGTGGGTGCGGAGGGTAGGTGCACGGGTGGGAGCGGAGGAGGACGTGGAGGATGGGTGATGTGGGTTTGGGGAAGATGGGAGGGGGAAGAAAGGGGTGGGTTGCAAGGAAGGGGGGTCAGGGAAGATGAAGATGAGTTTGTTTGTTTGTTTGTTTTTTTTTTGTTTTCTTCTTGTTCTTGTTCTTCTTCTTCTGGGTTGCGGGTTAGGTGGGGGAGGGAGGGAGGGAAGACAAAGTGGGGGGTTACGAGGAGGTGTGTTTTAGCTTTTGTTTTTGTTTTTTTTAAAAAATTTATTTAGAAGATTCAAGTTAAAAAAAAAATTGTTTTTTTTGCCACATGGCACACATTTGGCAGCCACGTGGCACAAATGTGGCAGCCACGTCAGCGCTTAACAGATCAATAGATGAAAAATGTAACGGATGTATTATTTTGAAATAAAATAGTACGTGAGGTTTGAAGGGGTGTGGATATTGTGGAATAAGGATATTGTGACTTTTGCATGAGATTTGGGGGGAAATTAAGGTTCTGTAGGCTTATAGATGAAGGGACGGAGAAGAAGTGAATGCGACTGGGGATGGGGATGGGGAAGACGATTTCTGGGTTTGGTTTTTTTTTTTTTTTTTTTTTGTTTTTTTTTTGTTTTTTTGTTTTTAAATAGGGTTAATATTATAATTGTTTTTTGCCACACGGCAGCTACATCAGCACAAATGTGGCAGCCACATCAACTCTTAACGGATCAATGGATGGAAAATGTAACGGAGGTATTATTTTGAAATAAAATAGTACGTAAGGTATGAAAGTGAAATGTTTTAAAGATATTGTATGGAGTTGTAATAGACCTCAAACCTAAAGGGCTACTATGTAATTTACCCTAAAATTAATGATTTTCTAATCAAATGATCACTAGACTGTATTATTCTTAACAGATCCATGAGGTGGCCTGCCCTGAGAGGGTGCAAAGTGTGCGACCGCATAGGGCCCCAAATTCTAAAAGCGTGATCATGATCACAGTGCTTTCTTGGCAGAGTTGTTAATCAGCGGTACTGTCATTTACTTGTTCACGGGTTCGACTCCACACTTGCTCATGTTTATTAATTTTGATTTCTTTCCTATTGGGCATTGTCTGGGTAACCATGTTGGGCCTTTTTTTATTATTTTTTAAGAAAAACTAATGAAAATGGCTTGAAAACTTTGAGTTTTAATGATAAGGACAAAATCAAGGGTAAAATGAATAGTACTAGGATTGACTTTTTAGTGTAAAAATGTGGTTTTTCATTAAAGTGAACAGTATCGGGATGTTTTTGTAAAAGTTCCCCTTTTTTTAAGCTAGACTATTTGTTTCTTTTATTGAATATTTGTAGTTTAATTTCTTTCATTGTTTGTTCCAAAAAAAAAAACATTTCTTTCATTATATAACATAACTTTTGCGAATAAATCTACAATTAGTAATATCATAATAAATTAAAACTCTTAAAAGTTTAAAAATATAATCTTTAAAAGCTCCTTCCTTATATGACAGCATTTAATAGAATACATGTAATAATAAGAATCGTTTATTCTTTTGATCACCTTTTAAAAGTTATCAAATTATAAGTTTCATCCATTTGAAGACTTTAGTCATCTATATATCAAGGGAAGTGTTATTGGCACTCCAAAAATATCATTCTACACTCCTCACAAGTGTTTTTTTTTTTTTTTTTAAATATAGAAAGTTTGAAGTGTACAATGAGATTTTTGAAGTACCAATAACAATTCCCTATATCAAAAGAAAATTATAATACAACTTTGCTCATACCTACCATTAGAGACACGAATCTCGAATCTTGAATTTTCAACTAATCTAACGGCAACCAACTGAGAGGTGAGGGGGGAGGGGATGGGGGGTTGTGAGAATAATCCTTGCTTTAGAGCGTGAGCAAAAATGCAATAAAAAATAACATTTCATTGTAAGATGCTATCAATATCATAACCAGTGATTCGTTTAACTCAAATTTTTTATGAGATGAACACTAGATGCTAATAAAGATCATTAATGGTTATGATTATGGTATTTGTACGGTGATACGATAACTACATAGCCATCACTCCATGTTTTTTGTATTTAAAAATTAAGGAGTTTTGAACAAAAAAGTATAGGATTTCAGATAGGTGCATACCACCACATTATGCTTCATGTTGTTTTTCTTTATATCAATCCATAATTAAAAAAAATATAAACTATAAAAGAAAATGTAGCAATCAAAATTTTAAACCATGTAAGGGCCCCCGTTTGAGTCCTGCACAGGGCCTCCAAAATCTCAAGATTGGCTCTGCATGAGGATAATGTCCTAGAATCATATGATCCTAATCTAAAGAGAGAAAAAAATAGAAGAAACCCTATGTCGTCAACCTTTGTCTTTGGCCTTGGAGTCAGTGGCGCGAATCCCTCTTGGGTTTTTCCTTTCTTCCCCTCCTTGCTTCTCCTATCTTCTAACCATTTTCATCCTTTGGTTGCGATTGATCGTTTGCTTTAAAAATTTTGTGGTCTCTCTCTCGCTATGTCACGATCGAGAGCCTTTACAACGTCTACGGATTATGTCTCAAGTTCAAATCTTTGAGTGGTGACTGTTGTTTAGAATTGAGGTGGTGGTTTTTGTGTTTCTTGTGATTTGTAAGCATGAAAAATGATCATGTGGAAAGAGCTAGACATTTATTAGAGACGATTCATACCAGTGCTTCTATGTCGACTCAAGATCATTAGTGAGTGGTGCGCTCTTTTTTCTTGTGGTGAGCCTTTACGGTAGTCTCTAACTTCTCAGCAGTGTTATCTTTTTTGTTGATTGGATGTGAGTCCTTCCATGGTTAAAAAAAATGTATTGTATCTATCCTGATGAGGCAAAACAAAAGTTCTTTTATTTTTTTTGTTAAGTAGTAGTACAAGTCTTGAATGAGCCCTCGTAAGATTGTAGGTACAAATTCGTTAGGACTGAAGACGGCGAATTCTTGCCACCATATATATCCCCTCTTCTCCCTTTCACCTTCCTAGTAACTAAAAAGGAAAAAAGAAAACATAGTTTTCGAATAAAGAGAGCAAAAAAAAAAAAAGTTATCTATGAACATATAATCAGCAATCTGTGTCCAATATTTGACAGAGAATTTGCAGCTACATTTGTTTTACAATATTAATAGCCATAACCGATTTCTTACAATTGATATTGTGGATGCAAATTTCTTCCCCCTTGATCTTGGACAATTTTGCACCTACAAAACAATTAACACCTTAGGTTAAGGCCAAGAGCCTCACATGCCCACGATGAATGGGGGGGGGGGCTTTGCCCGAAAAACCTCCGATGCCAAAGTTAGAATTTAGAGAGAAAGAGTGTTTAGAGAATTTTGGGATTTTTGCCAAAGTGTTGGAATTTTTTCTCCTCTTTTTGGTGAGAATGGAAGTATATTATAGGGATAGGAGGTGGCTAGGGTTTTTTGGGTTTAATTAGGAGTTACAAAATAATTAGCCAATAACTCCCTAATTAACTTGGCTAATTATTTGTCATACAAGGGAAAAAAGGTAGAAGGATGAAAGATGGCCAGCCTTTTTGTGGGAGTTAGGGTAAAGTGAATGGTCTAAACGCTAATTAAGGGAATAATTAGCTAATTATCATTATTTTAGAAGGAATGTTTTAGGAATTATGGAATAGGTATAATATTTAGCTAATTGATTAGCTAAATAATGAAATAGGAAATATATGAATAAATT